CACACACACCCTCTCTCTCCCTCAGACCCCCACACCCGCACGCGCCCGCGCACCCCCCACACCCGCACGCACACACACACACACACCCACACACCCACTCACCGACGCACCCACACGCACCCACACACAAACCCACGCACACACAAACACAGACACACACACGCACGCACACACACACACGGCACACACACACACACGCCCCCACACGCCCATGCCCCCCACGCGCCGACCCCCCCCCCCTCCTCCACCCCCACACACCCACGCCCGCGCACACGCACGCGCACCCACGCGCACGCCCCCACACCCCCAACCCCCAACGCCCACACGCACGCCCACGCGCCCCCACACCCGCGCACGCCCACCCACGCCCACACCCACAACCCACACACCCACGCACCCACACACACACAGCACGCACCCACCCCGCACCACACCCTTACACACCAACGCACCCCCACACGCCCACGCCCCCGCGCCCACGCCCACACCAACACACCCACGCACCCCCCACACAACACACACACACACACCCCACACCTCCACACCCCCACACCCCCACACCCACACACACACACACACACCCTCACACACCCACACCCGCACGCGCCCACGCATACCCACACCCCCACACCCACACACACGCACACCCACACACCCACACACCCACACACACAACCACACGCACACACCACGCGCCCATGCCCCCACGCCCCCCCGCCCCCACCCCCCCACACGTCCTCGCCAACGCACGCGCACGCGCACCCCTGCGCCCCTAAACCTCGCACCCCCACGCGCCCACACCCACGCGCCCGCCGCGCCTCCACGCCCCCGCGCCCCCGCGCGCCCGCACCCGCGCGACGCAGCGTAGCCAGTCAGCAGAATGCCCGAAGCGTGCGGCAAAGGGCTTGGGCCTCTGGCGAAGTGCCTGGGCGGGGAGCAGATGGCTCACCCATGGGGCACCTCCTCCCCCGTCTACTCGAGCGTAACGGGGGGGCCGCGCCCGTCCTGCCTCAGCTCGCCGACGCAGCGGGCCTGGCAACCTGCGCCCTCGCGCACCCGGCGATCGCCTGCCTCTTCGCTGGGCAGATCGGGGCCCGATGCCTGCTGCGGTCATTGCGAAGACAGAATGCAAACATGGCGGGGAAAACAGACTCCCTGGATGGGGCAGCGAGGCCAAGCCGAGCTAATGGACGCACAGGAAGAATATGGGCAAAAGGGGCAGGTGAGGAGACGAATGATGTG